CGAATTCCCACACTTTAAATTGTCATCTAACACAGAAGAACTACTAACTTTACTTTTAGAGACTGTGAGTGTAACTCAATATTGTGATTTTCTTTTAATAAAATTTTTATTAACAATTGTTAACGATAGGACTCTTTAACCGAATATAAGAAAGCCATTTGTGAAGCAAAATATAAAAATGACGCTAATGCAGAAATAGAATTTGTTACAGATGTTCTTTGGTGGTTGTAAGTGTCCTAATAATAATTCCTTAGAATTAATCTCAGATATTTATTTATTTATTTTTTATTAAAGTGCCAATAATGTATTTAATACCGCATCCGCTTTTCACGGTATACCTAAAAACGAGGCGCTTTTAGGATCATCAATGATTCACCCAATATTACAGTACCTTATGAATACAACCGACCGTATTATATATATTCCGTATGTTAATATAAAATTATATTTGACTTACATTTCATTTTTCTTGAAAGCATTAAAAACTCTTTTCTTCAAACAAATAAAATAGTGGTGAAATTTATCTAAAGGCAAATGCTAATCAAAGATTATTGAGGCGTAATTTAAAATCTGAAGATGACAAACCTTTAGGTATGAAAGTAGATGGTATATTTCATACCCCAGGAAATAAAGGACTTGAAATTGGAATGGTTGAGTTATCAGGTGGTTATTTGACTTCAGACATGCCTCGATATATAAAAGACCATGTTAAAGGTTGTTGGGGGTGTCGTGATATTCTAAATGATATTGTGAAAAAATACAATCGCGGAGATTATAAAATTTTGAGAAATTTGCGTACATGGTTCTTTCACATACATGGTAAGTTGATAGATAAACTCAATATTTTAATTTTATAAGGTAAATAAATTATTTTTTATTTATGCATACAGGGCAGGAGGTGCAGGTGTGGGGAATGGATCTACCTGTTTCAAAAGTTTATAGAATGTTTTTAATTGGTACATTTTATTTGCCAATTAATTGGGATGAGCATTATGAGTTGGTGCATGCGTTAAGAATTTTATGGAATTTGGGAGTAAGTAAGATTTGAATGCGTTTCTTATATTAAAAAAGCCTTATTCTGATTATTTTTTACAGAGAGGCTTAGATAACTCCTTTAAGTTACTCGAAGAATTTAAGAAGTCACATCGGCGCAATACCGCGTTGCATTTACGATCGTCGATATTGAAAGACTATGTTGATAATGTAAACGAGAGTTCACCATTGAATCCAACCGGTAAAAGAGCTCGAACAATAAACCCTCATTCTCTTACACCTAATGATCATCGTGATAGTAATGATAACGATCCACCTTCACTGTCTCCATCAGGTATTCTGAATACCCTTGCCCATTAACCTCTAATTAAATATAAAATAAAGGTTTATTTACCAACTCTGTAGAAATTATGTATATATTGGGATTTATATTCAGTAGTATCCTTGTAATGTGGTCATTGGATACTTTATGATTACTTATTGATATGAATAATTGAGAAATATAAAATAGCTTGTGTATAGGAAAAGATCATTAAAGTATTCCATAATTGTAATCTGCAATATTTTTATGTACTTTATTTTTACCACATCAATAAAGCTGGCCCTGGTGGCCGATTTATTGTGTTTAGTTTACATGTGCATTTTGGGATTTTATTTCATTGTATTGAGAAAGCTAAAGAAATTCTCATAAGAAATGAATCAGATATAAATACTCTTATTCTTCTCTTGCAACAAAAGTTCAAAAAATGCCGAAAAAAATATTAGATAAATGGCAAGATAATATTGCCTTTGAATTTCGGAATAATACTAAATACTGAAAAAAAAAGTATGACCGAAATGGAATCTGAGGTTAGAACAGGCCTTCCTACTACGAGTCATAAAAAGGAATTAAAAGAGAACTATTCGATATTCATTGAATATGTTAACTTTAGAGGTAAAGCCACATTATGTGATAATAGTCATCAAGAATCGCATTAAAATAAAAAAGTGGAGCCCAACGGACCCTCTTCTTTATTTAATAAAAATTTTTTTACCAAAACGACAATATACAAATAAAAAAAATTTGCCTCTTTTGAGGCACCCTTAATAGGCCGAGTTGGCAAGTGTTTACATTTGATCTAGAATATTCTGTCGCTGACCGGGATTCCTTATCACGTTCTAGACATTTTTCTCCAGGTCTGATTATCTAATTTTTAGTAAAATATATTTCTTTTATGTGCTGATTTATGGAATTGTTAATAACTTTTGATCTATTGATTTATTTGAAATAATTTAGCTATCAAAATGTTTGTCTTAATGAGAGATTAAAATGAGCCTAAAATCATCAAAATCTAATCACTGGATCCTGTTATTTTTCAAATTTTAAACAATTTTAATCGGAATTTTACTATGTAGACAATTAACTTAGAAATGGGTTGCCTGTATAAATTTATATAAGCAACCCATTTCTAAGTTGATTTTCTACATAGTAAAATTCCGATTAAAATTATATAAAATTTGAAAAATATCAAGACCCAGTAATTGAATTTTGATGATTTTAGGCTCATTTTAATAATCTCATTAAGACAAACATTTTGGTAGCTAAATTATTTTAAATAAATCAATAGATCAAAAGTTATTAACAATTTCATAAATCTGCCAATATGTTAACTATGTCAAAGCTTCACTAACAATAAGTGGATTATCTCATAAAATATTTATTATATAATATAAAGTTTACTTACAAGATAAAAATTGCTTTAGCTTGTATTGTCATTTTGATTTAGAATAGTTGGGGGCCTTATTTTTCTTGTTCTTAGGTATAGTTTTTTTATTACTGTTTATTTTATGTCTTTAAATAAAAAATATAATAAGTAAAAATTTGTTTCTATAGTCTCTGTAGATAAAATAATATTGCTTTAAAAATAAATTCTGAACAGGCAAAAAAAATTTAAAAAAAAGTTATTAATACCTACTTTTACAAGACAAGAAAATTACTTATTATATTGTCTGTTTGTTAGACAAAACTAGAATAAAAGCAGGTTTTATTCTTAAATCATACTTTTGTATAATACTATATATAAATAAAAATTAGATTATTGTTGTTTTATTGAAAAACCAAGTGTTAGTAATTCATTTATATGTAATAATATATAAATCTATACTATATTTATCACTAACCTTAAAATTGGATTTAATTAAAAAAATTTTTTTATTTATTCAAGCTTTTAGATTTTTACTCAAATAAATCAAAGTTATTTATTTAAGTAATGATAGCTTTGAACAAGTTATTTCTTGAAATTTTATATTTATATATTTTCTTATTTTATAGTAAAGATACTTTTGATATTCTTTTGATAAAGATTTTAAAAAAATTTTATCAAGAATTTTATTAATGTTAAACCTGTTTTTTAAAATATTAAATGTACTATAGGTACTATATACTTTAGTTTAATATAATACTTTTCTCAGTTCTTTGGAAGTAAATAAAAAATTATTATACTTTAAAATTTCTAGTAGTTTTTTAAATATAGTTTTAAAAACTTAAAAAAGTTGTAATATGTCTATTCTTCACTATCATTATAATATATTCTTTTTTTTTATTTTTTTATAACTTGAGTGATTTTGTCTATTACTTTATTAAGGAAAGCTTATAAAAAGTATAAGACTAATCTAAAATACATAGTATATAAATTAAATCCTTCTAAATTCAATTTTAACTAACTTGGCTACCTCATAGGTACTCAAGTTTGATCTACTACAGAAGCTCTTTTTCTCTCAAAAACTTTGATCTGTATGAACAGATTCCTCAGAATTTGATCAATGATAGCAACTTCTAGCCTATAATTAAGATCCTAGATCTCTTCTAATCTAATTTATACTAAGCTAAAAGTAGTTAACACCTAGTCTCAAGATATAAAAAGTTTAAAAATTGTTATATATAATAGAATACAACTACATATTATATAAATATAACTTATAAGGGAAAAATTTACTATCGAATTAAAAAACCTTTATAAGTAAAAAAGAGATAAAAAAGAAAAAAAAAAAAGAAGTCTCTCTTCTTAACACAAAGAAAAAAAGAGAAACAAAAAGTAAAAATATAATGTTATGCAACAACAAGAATGTATATCTCTAGTATTCAAAGTAACTCGTCTGAATATTAAATTCTAATTAGATCATCTATATGATGGTAATATATGTGTTTGTTGTCTTGTCTAAATTGTATATCAACAAATAACTTACCAAATTAGGAAGTAGTACAGGCTTGCTAATCTTTTGTCAGGAGTTCACCAAATCCTCTACTTTTATTATTTTTTGATAAAAAGAAATTCAAAAGACCTGAGAAGAAGAGAAAACAATACTAAAAGAAACTTTAAAGAGGGAAATATACTAAACCCAGTTCTAGTATTATAGTTAGAGCTTCACATCTTACTTCTATAGCTTCTTTCTTCTTCTTATTTTATTTTAATTCATAGACAATACTTTGTATTTATATACAAGTTTCTATATATACACCTTACCAAGAGAGAGCCTCTTACAACTGGACTTACACTACTTATAACTAGACTTTTATACTCATACTAGTCAAAATATATAGTCTACTAGGTGAGTATTAGAGGTACTACTAGACTTCTAATATAAAAACAAAATTTTTCATTTGCTCTAATATTGGTGTTGATAATTGATAGAAAGAGTTGTCTGACACTTTGTCCAAATTGTTACATTTTATTAAATTGTTAAAAAAACTTTTGACAATATATTTCTATTGATTTGTTGCAAAAATAAGAACTTCTTCGTCATCTTCAACAAAAATATTATGATTAGTATTATTATTTTTATCTTCACTAGAATAGATAATAATAATATTTTTATTTAAAACTTCATCACAGCAAATTTTATCAAAGTAAATTTCATTATAGCAAATTTCATCATAGCAAATTTCATCAGAGATTTGATGAGTTCTATTATCAAAAATTTTATTATAATATATTTCATCATTTTCTGAACTATTCATAGTATTAGAAATCGAATACTTGCAAAGGCATATTGAATAATCTCAGACCTAATTTCTGTTTATGATTCAAGTACCTATTCATATACAGTATATAGATCTGCATATTTCAAGTTTCTTTTTTTAGTTTTTTCAGAACTACTACTTACTATCTATATATGCTAGTGATGACAAAGTGCTACTTTGAAAGAATAATTAATAGCAATATCAAGTGATTAGTACATAGAAGTTAAACTACTAGGAATAACAACAAAATCATTATTATTTTTTTTAATATTTGTCTTAATAGCATCAGTAAAATATTCTCTAAATAAATCAAATACAAGAAGAGAAGGCTTATTTTTTTGATCACTTAGTCAGTCTCTATTATAATTATCAACTCAGATCAGCATACCCTGTTCATCTATCTAACCTTTCTTATGAAAAGAAACAATTATACTGAGAGGAGATGAAGGCTTAGTTTTAGACCATCTTTGACCCTTAAATATGATCATAGAGAAAAGCTTTTAGCTATCAGTGAAGCATATTAAAACTACAGTAAAGTGATTATTTTTATTTCTAGTTGTATAAATATATACTGTTTTAGTACTAATTTCTTAAATTATAAGATCACTAGCTATGTCAAATCAAACAGTGGTTTTATTAATATTATTCAAAAGGTAATTTTTCATATAATACAATTGGATCATATACTGTTGAAAATTAAACAACTTTTCTTTAAGACCTGCTGGTATTTTTTGTACTATTTTTGTTTTTTATTTTTTTTTATTTTTTTTAACCTTTTCAGCAAGTTATGCCAATACTTTATTTGCAATAAATTTTGTACTCAACAAAAATATTAGAATACATATTTACTCAAAATATATCTAACTACGCAATTTTTTAAGTATTAACTTACCCAGTTACTCTAAAGGTACCTATGTGCGATCTGCCACAGTGAGTCTTTTCCCTCATCATTACTATCTAATCTTTCGAAAAAATAACAACAAATCCCTGAGTGAACACCGCAGCCCATCATGACTTCTCGCCTATACAATAGACTACTACCAAACTGATAACAATTTTAATGTATTAGATAGAATATATGTATTAATTAAATAATATAATCCTATATATTTGATGTATTCTATTTTTCTGATATATTTTATAATTTTTATTTTTTCAATATATTTTATTAGATAAAAACAAAGTAATTACACTTATTAGTATAGTTAGAGTACGTATAAAATCTGATGTGCCTTTGTTTTCAGCTGAAGATTATTCATATATAATACAATGTCATAATATAAAGCCAAGATACAAAATTTTGAAGAAATTATTAGATAAATATAAAACATCGTCAAAACAGATTTATTAGATCTGGAGA